ACGTAACAAAAAAGGTTATACGTGATTCTACTTTGTCTATCAAATGGCTATCTCGGTTTTTTGACAATTTTGGATTTTGGCCCATTTTTTTCCAAAAACTTACTTTTTTGGGAAAATTATGATACAATCCAAAATTTTAAGTGTATCGAAAAAACCGGAATATATGTCAGAGAAGTAGTCTATGTGCACCTATATACTAATTTTTAGAAGAATCGGTTCAAAAATGTGGGAGTTATTCAAAATTTTATGACGTCACTACAAACAAAAATTTAAAAAAATGATTTTTTTTTTGGAAGTTCTAGACCTCGTACGGAAACAGACATAGCACCATTCGATTCGCCGTGAAAAACTGCATCAGATAGACACCTTTTTAGGCCTTAACAACCAACTTCAAAATTTGACCTTACTTGACCTGACCTTGACCTGACCTCGACCTGAAATTCATCCAGAGGTGGTCCATATCACTTATTGAGTGTGCCTATTGAATTCTATGAGTAAAATGACCCATAAAACATGTGTCGCACATGCCCTTTTCTATATTTTGTTTTTGGTGACCTGACCTGACCTGACCTGACCTTGACCTTGACCTTTGAATGACATTGTATGCAACGAATATTGTCTTGGTAGTCTAAGAACACGTTTTGGGCAATCAGTCTCAGTCCATTCTCCGGCAACTACGGTGCAAGGCCGATACTGTAGAAACTTACATTTTGTACCCTTGACCTGACCTTGACCTGACCTCTGACCTACTTAAGCAAAAAAAATTGGACTCTTTAGATCCGCCTTGTTGAGAGCTTTCGATTGCCGTTTTCCCCGTCTTTCTACGACCATCGGTTCGGAAGTTAGACAGGGGGGGGCAGAATCTGCCCCCCCCCCCCCCAGCAGGGCGCGTATGGCTGAATAGCCCAGCGGGGCGCGGGTTAATATGGGCTGATACGATAAGGACCAAACAACAAAAACAAGTAGGGGAGAGTGGGGCAAAGCGGCCACCCGGGGCAAAGCGGCCACCCATCGTTTAAGCCCTTCATAGCTGGCGTCAGTTCCAATTTATGGTTTCCAATTATACTTCTCTTCACGGTCGTTCGAATGAGCCAGACCGGGGTTTCAGGCCCATCACCATTGTTCTGTGAAACACGGAAAAGCATTTCTTGCCAGGTTACCAACTATGTTTACAATTTTTAAATGTTATGTTATTCCATAACCGTTTGGAATTTTTATAAGCGTTCTTGTCCATGCATTGCATGGTTATCGTACATGTATTCTACCAATTTTAATGTTTTTTACCCCATTAATAGCTAAGCTGGAATATTTTTGCCTCGGACGGTATGCGCGGGGCAAAGTGGCCGGGGCAAAGTGGCCACCCCCCAATTGGCCATAAGTTGCTTCCATCTGGATAAAAAACATTATTTATATTCAAATGTGTCGTCATGCATTCATCTTGGCCACTTTTCAGTTGCATGAGTTACCAAATAATGCAATTACCTAAATGTTTATTTTCATTAAAACCCTTTCTTTGTTTACCTACAGGTGGAAGATGATAAAGTAGGTAAACATCCATCCTCGCTTAACCTTGTCACCATCAAATACCCTAGTCGTACACGAGGCAACTATTTTGTTTCTCATATCAGGACTTGAGAAGACGCCGGTGGCCGCTTTGCCCCAGGGTATGGGGCAAAGTGGCCAATATGCATAGGTTTAAAGTTTTGTCAATATCTTTCATATGTGAACGCCTTCGGAAATAAAACGCAGTTGAAATAAAAGGCAACTTAATAGGGATCACATTGGTATAGAAAGAATCTTTCCAAGTTTAAAAATCAAGCGTTGGCATCGTGAGAAGCGTTAGGGTGGCCGCTTTGCCCCACTCTCCCCTAAAACGCAAGAGAAGGCACAATTCACCATTGTAAGTACCGGTGGAAGCTTTTCTAAGAACTATTCAGATCGGCAATTCATTGCCAACGGGTTCATCAGCACAGTTGATGATATGTAACTAGTATGCGCCAATGTTTGCCACAGCATGTAATAAAGCAGAAAGGTGAGGTTATTGTCAGCTTTGAAACGAACAGACAGGCGATGGTGGCCTAACTGAAAACGTAACTACATACATTTCACAGATGTCGTATCCCTGAACCTTATGCGAACAGTACGCGCCTCCCCCGTCAGCGATTTTCATATTATCACATCCTTTCTTTCATAATTATCCCTATTCTCCGTGCGACATTTGTCATACTCGGTATATTAATCTGGCACGCTGCCAGCGGCTCCGAGTACTCCGAGTACTCAGTACTCACCCATCACATGCGATATATACTCGTGGTACGGATTACATGGTCATAGAGGGATATATCCCTAATCCCCGGAATACTTTTGGTCACATAGGGGACACATGTGCTGGTGAGCAGGCCTTGAGGTTTGCAAGGGGCAGCGTGAATTCTGAAAACCCGTTGATGACACGTGGGACCGCGTTGGGTGACATGACGGACGCACAGCATGGTCACACATAGGGTCTCGTGCAGTAAATAACACGTGTGACATGGGGTCGAAGACAGGCACCATAAAGAGTCCCAGGTATGATCCTGAAGTGCGGGAACTACATGTGACAGCGGTCTGACAGGACTATCTGGCAAACAAGTTAAACAGTGACAGTCTGGGGCTGTGCACGTAAAGGTCGTAATGGCACTGACATCACCGTGTCTGTATCTGCCACGATAAGCTCCAGGTGTGTGCGTGCCGATCCCTCCTGCACAGAGCACATGTCTCCGTCATAAGCTGCTGAGCCCTACCGGAAGACAGACGTTCCTATCAGAGGAGCCTCCCCAGATGACACCTCAGATTGGTCCAAGCCAGGCTGTGACGTTGTTACTTGTCATATCTGCTCAGATCTAGTCTGAGACGACGTGTGTGATATCCGCAGTGCCAGTTACGGGATATTATTTCATTAGAGGTGAAAAATTCACTGGGCTGGGTGTCGATAACGCAGGCTGCAGGGGTGGCAACAGGCTAGGAAACGAGCATTGTTACTATGGCTAGCCATATTATTCCACTCTACCCTTGATTTGCCTATATTCAACATGTTTTATAATTGGCGCCTCAAGTCAGTCATACCTTACGCGGACAATGGGCATTGCACGCAAGAAAAAAAGAAAGTTACGCCGGTTAGCAGACAACAAAATCAAGCCGCTTTGTAGAAATATTGTTTTTGAGCCCGAGAGTCCCTGCTAGTATTCGCTGTTAGACCCAGTAGTCCATAAGTGCATGATGCTGCATTTCATCAGTTCCAGGCCCTTTAGTATAAACCCATCAGTCACTGTCACCTCTCCCCATCTTTGATCCGCCCCTGATCCCAGACTGTCTGGACGACAGTTTCACCTCAATGTTGATCCATATCGCTCGGCTCTGGCATGTGACAATGTTAACGAGCTACACTACCGCTAACGGACATTTCCAGACCGTATCGCCAGATCAGGACATGTTCACGGTATTTGCAGCGTTTTAGCCGGTTATAACCCCAACCTTGAAATGGACGGCGGCGTCTGAATGTACGATAAGAAACCATGAAGAGGGTTGATGGCTTGTGCTGCAGTGATGACGTCATTGGTTGCTAGGCAACGGGTGAGGGCGGATGATATGTGAGGGCGGGGAAACATTAATGAATAAACATGCGGTAAAGTTCCCATGTGTAGGTACAGTTTGTTGGTGTGGGAAATGGTGGGGTATCATGCAAGGTATCATGCAACTGCAAGGGATGATGGCAGAGTATGAGGTTTGAGAGATGGCCGGAGGTCCAGCATGGGATCGGAGGCTGATGTCCTCTATTTCCTCTGCTGCTGTACATTATCTGATAGGTATGAGTACAGATAATTTCTCTGTAGGTATATAGCTACTCGTTTTCTTACGTACCTATGTTTCTTTTTTAGACAAAATAAAAGAGATAATGAAGTAAAGAAACAGAAAGAAAGAGAAGCTGTGAGGAGAGACAGGAATCGGGTAGAAGAGAAAAAGAGAGCCAATCATAATCACGTAGTAATTGCTTTCATATTTCTGTTCGTAGAATTAGAAACTAAAGCGATACGCCATCACCAAATTACCCAAATGTAACCCTACCGACTTACGTTTCTATGTACATATACCTTTTTAGCCCATTGCAATGGTAAAATAGCTGATATGGTTCTTCACGTCGGCACGGCCTTCAAACCGTGAGTTCGTGCGTCATTTGCGCGACACGTCAGGTTGCAAATATCAGCGAATTGGAGCGAACTCTTGCCACGACCATGGTTGTGTGTTTGTAACCACTGCACTCGATGCCGGGTGAGCCGACAATGGCCAATTCTGCTGTTCCTGCCCAGTGCCGCGCCTCCATTCACACGGGACAGGGACATACGACAATGGACATAGTCACAGCAAGTCACACACCAGCTACGAAATGACGGTATAAGTAACGAACATTGTGAAAATTGCCTGATTGAGGAATCGGTATGTATTTCTTTTTATGCAAGCTGTTTGATGCTTTTTAAGACAACATACAATTGAAGCGTTTCTTGTTCCAAATCTGTATCGAGATGATATCGTCTAAATAAACATCTTCGTTTGTTAATTTTTTAGTCACACAACGGTGACAGTACGGTTGCTTGCGGTTGCTGAGGAAGAATCGTCATTCATCTTTTTTGTGTGTGTAGGTATGTCTGTTGCCATTCGGTTTTTCAGTTGTCCCCATCTATTCCTGTAATATAAATAGGTATCTCGAGGCAACCTCGTTTCGTCAGAATACCAACTACTGACCGACAGCCAGTTTATCGTGTTTCCATTCCGCACCTGATCGTACAATATCAGTTCCCCGTTCCTCAGGCCCAGCCCTTGCTCCCCCAGTTCACCAAACACCCCAGTCCCCCCAGTTCACCACACATCCCAGTTCGCCACCCGGCGTCAGACGACCCCCAGTGACCGCTGTCCGTGACTGTGACTGAATCTGCAGTACGATGACTTCATGTCCCCCTGTGTTTCAGTCAGAGTCAGGCGGGATCGGACGGACCCGTGGGCGTGCCCCCGCCGCCGCCGCCGCCGCCGCCGCCCCCACCAGCGGCCACCAATGGGGGAGCGCCGCCCCCGCCCCCGCCGCCGCCGCCGCCCCCGGCCATGCCGGGAGGCGTGCTCCAACCCCGGCGAATTCCCACAGAGGTAAGTGGCCGGACTGAGGGGGAGCAGTGGGGAAGGGTGACACATTCGTGTAATGTTTTGTATACCTTCGTTACTTAATCGAATCTAAAGTAAATACTGATTTCAAATGCCATTTCGAACATTGCATTCAAGTCGAGAGCGAATCACTGCCTGGAAAAATTGTGTTCTTTTTTAGACCAGGCGCACTAGACTATGACGTCACTGTCAGTGGCTATAGGATATCCCGACTGAAAAACGTATCGTTGGCAGTCTGACGGGTCCTACTGGGCTTCTGACTGATCACACTGAGATTTCTCCGTAAAGCATTCGGGCCAGCCGGCTATGAGCGAATGTGCCGTCCACTTGTCGGAATTGATGCGAGTTTAAACTGTCAGGCAGTAGGTCAAATAAAGTCATTATGCATACCAACTACCGTTCTGATTCTCAGATCATTTGCATTTTATAGTCGTTTTCCTATCTCTCACGCTTTGTCACCTTGCCAGCTGCCGATTTCGTTCTACCTCGCAAAACAGGTGATAGTGAAGAAGTGTAAAGGAGAGCTTTCAAAGAGAACTTGGAAAGGGCATTTTGATTTGTCGTCAACGCCTCAACATAAAAATGTACTGTGCTCTAACATAACTCTAAAAAATCAGTGAGATAGGCGGAAGATAGCTATAGTAAAAATAAGTGGTATAAACGTATGTTTTCACCAGAGATAATTCATGCACAACGTTCAAAAAAGGCTCAAAACGGGCACGGAGCGCACACTACCGGGTGCACTGCCTCAATCCCATGTCCGCCCCGCCCGCCGGCTCGTCACCCGTCACAGCCCCCCACTGACAATACAGTAGCCCACCGGTCTAATGAAGCGCTCACACACGCCCCGGGAGTACAGAACAGGGCGGCGTCCGTGCCGGTGCGTAATGCGTGCGTGCGAGCATATACAGGGCGTGCGCTATCAGACTGACATGTGAACCATGATGGCTTGGTGATTGGCGTCCGTTGTGCGCTACGATTTGATACTACTTGTGGTTGTGTTATGCAACACCTAGGCAACATAAGAAGGCAAGCTGGAAAAAGGCTGAAAAAAATAGACGCATAAAGCACGAGCAAATAAAATGCGAAATCCCGCATTCGCGGGAAAACGTTAGGAGTCATTCAAAATTTATTTCTTCCGTTCTGGTAGCTTCGCCATTTTTAAAAGTTACATTGCTTGCTCCTTTTGATACGAATGCAGCATCAGCTATTTTTTTTTTTTGTAGTGACTTTAAGTTCGCCGACGCTATGCCAACAGAAATGTCTGAGAGGTCACAAACTCTAATAGCCGGTGCAACTAACAATTTGCTTGAATTGGCTGAATGGTGCTTTCAGGACATAATAAACCAGTATAACGCCTTTTGGGGCGACTAACGGAGCGAGCGAGAGGGTGGGCCTTGCACGTGCAAAATGGCGAGGGGGTACCTCCAACTGACTTGTGCACGGCACCCTACTAACCGGTCTCTAGCGATGTGCCAAGTTTGAGCACAATCGGCCCAGCCGTTCTCGAGATCTGGAAGCGGCACCCTGCACGTGCGCACGTGCAAAATGGGTCCCAACTGACTTGTGCACGGTACCCTACCAACCGGTCCCTAACTGTGTACCTAATTTGAGCGCAATCGGTCGAGCCGTTCTCGAGATCTGGAAACGACCCCTGCACGTGCGCACGTGCAGCAGCAACCCAACTCTGGCACATGGATATGCAGTGCCTTGTGGGTGCCTACCTACATGCCAACTTTCAGCGCAATCGGCCAAGTAGTTACCGAGATATTGCAACAATTACAAAACTGACACCTCTTCGTTTTGCACGTGGCACGTGCATAAGGGGTCACCCACATGCATCGGGAATAGTCCAATACTTGGTAGGAGGAATGAAGCTACCCTACAAAAATTACCGCATGTAAATCGGTCAAGTGGTTGCTGAGATATAGGTAAGCCTCGCCAAAGCGTCCGCACGGTCGGCCGGCCGGCGCTCATACTCAGAAATTTCCGTTAAAGGGACTATCCCACCTTTAACATGGGGTTTGAGTTGAGATAGCCAAGTTTGCGGCGAGGTTCAGAAACCACTATCTATCTAGGTCGCAACCCCCGCGGCCTCTTGGTGTTGAAGAAATTCGTTCCCTTCATTTGAAAATGGGCCTTGTACAAGGCCCTATCTTCAACATGGAGCGACCGTTAGTGTGACGTCACCTCGTTTAGTCATTCTGATTTGAATGGGTTTGTTCATTGAAAAATCGCTTAAAACTTGGTCTGAACTTTGTTGTGGTGCCTACAGAGTAAAAAGAATCAGCTTGATGACAGTAATGTGGCCTGGGGAAGGAGGTAATTTTGGGCTGTGACGTCACATATTTGAAAGTTTGTGTTTGGAATATGGGAAGCCTAAGATGTTTAATGAAAAATAAATGCCAGAACCGTGTTCCTGGTCATCCAATCTATAAAGTCGGGAACAATTTAACCCGGCAGTTGCTGGGGTATTTCGCCACACACCGTTTGCTGGGGGGGGGGGGCGTTAAACGCCCCCAGCCGATAACTCGAGAACCAATAGGCGCAGCGAAACGCACGAGGCGGCAAACGAAAGAACGCGACGAGACGCTTCAGATGAGTACTTTAAAGTTGAATTTTGAGGTCACAGGTCGGGTCAAGGTCAGGTCAAACACCTGAAATCGGGCTTTCAGTAGCATGGACTTCAGGACTTCGCAATGGGCGCCTCTCGTCACAAACTCTGTCAAAACGGTGCACAATCCATCATATAAGGCCTACAAGAGTGTCAGCTCCATTTAGGGGTCAGTCAACCATAGGTCAGGGTCAAGGTCAGGTCAACCGGGTAGGCATATATCCCCGAAAATCAAAACTGATATTCGCAGCCTGTGACACATGTTTTATGGGTAATTTGGGGCGTAGAACACGATGGTGACATTCACTTTATCATATGTGTACGTGTTTGGCTCAAAAAGTTCAATTTAAGAAATGCATGTATCACGTTCGTGAAGTAGTCACGAGAAATTGCCAAGATTCAGTTCAAGATTTTGGAAAATGCGGAACGATAATCAATAATCGAAGATAGCCATTTTATTGGTCATGATATTGGCAGTCTAATGGCGTTTATGGCATGTGTCTATGTCTATTTTATGATTTTATATGATTTTTTGAACATATGCCGTTTTTGGTCGAAAACTCAGAAATCATGACGTCACTAAAACCTCGATATCTCAAAAATTTTCCGACCGATTTTTTTGAAACTTTGTCACAATAAATTTCAATCAATTTCCTACAGGTACCCAAAATGCAGGCGCGCCGTTTTTATGCTATGGCCCGGCGAAAAAAGTGGGGGCGTTTAACGCCCGCCCCCCCCCCCCAGCAACTCGCGGGTTAACTGGTTTTAACAACATTTTAGAAGGTGGGATAGTCCCTTTAATCTAAGGAAAGACTACGCTTGCTTCGCTCGCTCCGTAATGACCAACTCAAACGTTATCGGTTATTTTTCCGAGATGTGAGCGATAGCGCATATCTGAGACTGAATAGAGGCAGGGCGTGTCCGTTCAGAGACGTGGTGACAGCTGGCTCCAATAAATCAGAGAAATATAGCCAGATCTGTGTCTGTCCGTCTGTCCGTCTGCCAGCACCGCAGTTTTGGTAAGATCCAGCACTTCTGGAAACAAATCGCTGCACTTCTGGAGACAAATCGCTGCATTGAAATGGCATATATCTTGCTGATGGACGGCATAGGCGTAGGAACAGGGGGGGCCAGGTGGGCAAGTGCCCACCCACTTTTCGAGGTGGGGGGGCCAACCATGTGTTTTGGCCCACCCACTTTTAACTCGAGGCCCCTCGTCTCGATTTGAGAGGACGTCGTCAGTGTCACCTTCCAGAATCTCGGTAAAAATAAGTTCCACGAATCCCCACGCACGGACTCCAAGGGGCCATGATGGATCCAAGGAGGCCCTCTGTTCATACTTGTCAGTCGAAGCCCCTGAGACTGATGGCCTGAGAGGCCCTAGTGGATCTGAGGAGGCCCCAATTTCCACACTAGTCTGGGGAGGCCCCTGACACTGGCGGTCTGGGAGGCCCCTCTATCCACACTTGTCAGAGGTCTGAGACTGGTGGTCTGGGAGGCCCCTCCATCCACACTAGTCAGAATAAATTTAGGCCCCTGACACTGGCGGTCTAGCCGAGGCCCCCTACCCTCACTAGTCAGAGGAGGCCCCTCTATCCTCAATAGTCATAAAAGGCCCCTGAGACTGATGGTCTGGGAGGCCTATCCATCTACACAGTAGTCAGAGGAGGCCCCTGAGACTGATGACCTGAGAGGCCCTTATAATCACACCAGGCAGAAGAGGCCCATGATACTGATGGACTGAGAGGCCCTTCTATTTATACTGGCCACAGGAGACCCCCAAAATTTTCGGTCTGGGAGGTCCCTCAATCCGGCACCAGTCAGAAGAGTCCCCTGAGACTGATGGCCTGGGAAGCCCTTATATTCACACTAGGCAGAGGAGGCCCCTGAGACTGATGGTATGAGAGGCCCTCATATTCACACCAGTCAGAAGAGGCCCCCGAGGCTAATGGCTGTGAGGCCGCTTCTGTTCATATAACTGGCCACTGGAGGCCCCTGAAACCGGTGGTCTGGGAGGGCCCTCTATCCACACTAGTCAGAAGAGGCCCCTGAGACCGATGGTCTGAGAGGCTCTTATATTCATACTGGCCACAAGAGGCCCCTGAGACTGATATTCAGAGAGGTCCACTCCTAATGAATCTGAGGGGGCCCTCTATCCATATTTACACTTTTCTAGGGAGGCCCCCGAGACTGATGGTCTGAGAGGCCCTTTTATATATACTGTCCACAGGAGCCCCCTGAGATTAATGGTCTGAGAGGCTCTTCTATTTATACTAACCAGAGGAGGCCCCTAGGATTGATGGTCTAACAGGCCCTTCTATTTATACTAGCCAGAGGAGGCCCATGAGACTGATGGTCTGAGAGGCCCTTC